CGTCGTGAAGAGCGCCGTCTGCACGAGTGTCATGTTCATGGAGCGCAGGGCGTTGTTGATGCGGCGGACTGGAGCAGGTATCTCCGTGGCCTCGACTTCGACGCCGTACGCAACGCTCATGCTGGAGAAGAAAATGAACTGTGCAAGTGTTCAAGCGTTATCAACTTTTCCCTGTCTCTCCAATATCACAAAGGTACATGCCTTTCATTCATTCGGATTTATCCGGATTTTGAACAAATTTGCCTAATCTACTGTACCTTGGCGAAATAGTGTGGACAGAAAGTCGGCGTGCAGAATCCAGTTGACGCGGAAGCGTGCTGCGGTTCACGGAGGCGCGGCTTTGGATCTTTAGCCACACCGAAATGCTCGTGATGCGGTCGTTGCACCGGAGCAGCAGCCACGATGGCGTGTCCGGTACGAACTGCATGCAGACTAGGAGCTGCAGGCCAGGAGCCACCCCCATGGTCGCAATGATCTTCCGCTCGTTCAGGTTAAAGCTCACGTAGCACGTGCTCAAGTACACGAAGAACTGGCCTACGCCAATGTACACCTTGCGGCGACCGAGCATGCGGACTACTCTATCCGCTGTCGCCTTCGCGACTGTTCAACATCCAAGTCGAAATGTTCGACGGCCGCGTGAACCACGACGAGTGTTTCTTCCAGCAGATCCTTCCACTAGGCATGTTCATGGGTTCGTTGATCACGTTCAACCTTGCCGATCGCTTGGGATGGGCCGCGATGCTCGAGCTCGCCACCATTCCGTACTGTACTTTGTACGTCCTGGGTTGGTTGTTTGTAGGCGTGGCGTTTGGCCAAGTCACACTCCGAAATATTATGAATATTTTTCAAACGACAGCTTTTGTGTGTTTGGCTACCAATCTACATATATTAATATATAGTCACATAATACGTCGAATTTTTACTCTTTTCTCACAGAACAAAGTTTGAACTATTGTCGATTTGATACAAATTTGGGGAGGGGGTGCAATCGAATCGCGCCGACCAAACCCGATCCACAATCGATCTGATTGGTTGAATTGCATTGAGAGTGTTTTGATTGGCTAATAATTTTGAGCTCATCTGAAGTAGCCAATCAAATCGATTTAAATTCCAATGAGAAACCACGCCACAACACGAAATTTCACTCGAAAGCACAATACAGCAGTCCATTTTTTACAAACATGATATTCTATCGATAGCTCAAAATTCGTATTGATGACTGAGAAATGATCGTTTTGCGGAGAAGCACAAAAAATGGTCTAAATTGGTGTCGTCTTACAGGTTATAGTTGCATTAAGGCCCTGTTCGGGCAACTTCACTTGTACTATTTTTGCGTGTTGATGAATCATGTTTAATAATTATAGTACTTGCTGACAGAATTCTGTCGGGCAAATAACGAAAAAGGCAAAGAACAACATTCTCTCGATAACACGTTATCCCAAATTTATTTATTTGATCATATGTATATATACATATTTACCCTCACACCAATATCCAGTATCCAGACTCCAATTGGTAACATTGTGACCAATGGCTATGCGTTGGGTCTGAATTTGGGCCAATCAAACAATTCTACGTATTTACTACTAGTACGCCATAGTCACGTTATACCATTAAACCTCTACTGTTTACAGTATGGAGTGTTTGCTACACACACTGATTAGGTATTTTGTACCAATCACAATGCAATATCCATGATACTCCTTGTAGAATCCCCTCGTGTTATGGCGGCGGCGGTGAAGCCTTCATCGTCTTTGAAGTGGAAGCGCATCATCCATGCTATGCGAGATCCAGGGCGGAGCGAGTACTCGTTCGTTCCGCACAAATACATCCATTCCATGCCAGTCCTGTCCCCGACGCCAGGTGGCATGGACTTTGATATCGGAACCGCCGACGAAACCACCCCAATCAATGCCAGGTACCTTGACATATTTCTAATGTGACTGTCACCAGTATCTCACACTGCTGGTATTTCATAGACAACATGCAGTGGAACATGCTCGACCGACGATTCGGTGCACTACAGTGCCGTCATGTACTGGTTCATCCTCATCGTGTTGCTCAGCTTCATGTGCGTCGAGTGGGTCCTACTCTATCCGCTGTCGCCCTCG